GGAAGATAGAGGCATTTCCTTGGCCCAGCTCCAGCAGTGTATTCTCAGTAAAGTCTGCCATCTCATGAAGAATGAGGCCCACGTACAGGTCAGTGTGTGTGTGTGTGCGCGCGCGTGCGCGCACGCGCGTGCGTGCATGTGTGTGTACGGAGGGGGTTGTAGAGGTTCGAGGCATAGCTTCTGAGAAAAGAATTTGCTGTTGATGAGAGCTCTCACTTTGGCTCATAAAACAGCAGTGATTTATGTCAGGTTATAGTTCTTCATCTGCAAGGGAGTAACCATTTTATGACAGCAGTGTTTTTCTCTTTGCAGCATTACAAAATACTCTTCATGGGAAGGAGTTTTTTCTTGTTAAATCTTTAAAAACACTATTGGAATAAAGATGGGGTTTACATAGTTATCTAAGTTTTGTATAGTTATGTCTTCCCATAGTTTTTTTCTAGAGGATAGTATATTGTAATAAATCATAACTTATACATTTGGATCAAAAATTACAAGGGACTATGATAGAATTTTTGTGGGAAATAAAATTGATGATTATGTCCAAATATGAAAGTCTCAAAACTCACTGCCATTGAGTCGATTCTGACTTAATAGCGACCCCCATTGGGTTTCCAAGGCTGTAAATCTTTACGGGTGCCGACTGCCTCATCTTTGTTCCACAGAGTTGCTGGTGGTTCTAGGTAATAAAATAATTTTGTCCAGTGTTCGAAAAGCTGAGATAAAAACTCAAGGGAAAACACCTCTTTGCCTTATTTATTTATTCTTAGATCGATAGCTTCTAAATAAAAGAAAAATGCATCCTAAGATAGTATAGCTTCCCAAAGTATCAAGTACTAATCTGATGTCTGGTTGGCACAGGAGATGTTGAATTTTTTTGGAACAGACCAGTAGCATCAGAATTTTGTTTTCTGACAACTAATGATGTCCCTGGGAAGCACAAATGGTTTGTGCTTGACTACTAACCTAGAGGTTGCTGGTTCAAACCTATGCAGTGGAACCGTGGAAGACAGGCCTAGTAATCGGCTTCCATTAGAGATTGCAGCCAAGCAAACTATGGAACAGTTCTGCTCTATAATACGAACTCACTGTGAGTTAGAATCGATCAACAGCAATAGATTTGGGTCTTTTTTGATACTCTCTTAGTAAGAGCTTTGCGTTGAGGGAATATACCATACTCATTTCAGAGATGAATCCTCATGATAGTTCCTTCCTGCTCAAGAAAAACTCTGTTTGACCCAGGATTTATATCAACTATCACTTCGTTAAAGACTTTCCCTACATTTGTCCCAACCTTTATTTTTAAAGGATTTTGCTGTATGTCCTACACGGAAGATCTGTCAGAATACCAAAATTAGAAACTGTAGCTTCGTTACAAGTAGGTCAGCGTATCTAGTAATAGCTTCAAGCCTTCCTCCAACCCTTGTGCTCCTGATGGTTGAAATTGGATAAAACCACTTTCATGTGAACATTTAGCTCAGCGGTTCCTTGATCTTTACCCACTCATCTCCCTGCACCTTTGCCTTCATACTTCTACACTCATTTTTTATTTTAGAATCTGATCCAGCAATCGCTGGGGCCAGCAGACATCTATTACAGGCAACCTCCAACTCAGCAGTGGATGCTTTTCCAAGATCCATTTGCAAATGTGTGGTTGGGCGTGATTTTCCTTAGGCATACCAAAAAATACCAAGTCAGATGCTGTCAAGTTGATATCAACTCATGGTGACTGCATGTGTTACAGAGTAAAACTCTTCCATAGGGTTTTCTCAGCTGTAATCTTTATAGAAGTAGACTTTTGGGCCTTTCTTCTCTGGCAGTGCTGGCTGGATTGTAACCGCTAACCTTTTGGTTAGTAGACAAGCGGAAACCAGTTGTACCACCCAGGGACCCTCTTTGGGAATAATGTGTTTTAAATGGTCACAAGGTTCCTGACTAGCCCGCCTATGTAACCCATAATGCTTTTGTTGTTGTTAGTTGCTGTAAAAATGGCATGAGGGTGGCATCTGACCTCCTCTAACTTCTCAAGGTAGGAGGAGGACCAAGATCAACACCCCAAGGCTGATTCCTATGAAGTGGAGGTCAGACTTGCTGTTAACTCTCTCTTTTGTTGCCACTTCTGACACCAAACACCCCTCCCTGGTATTCTCTACTTATCTGCTGGGTTTGTAATTCACTGCAGTGGCCACACAGAACTCACAGACGATTCTCATGAATATGAGATTTATTATAGAAGTAAGAGTTTACAATTCAGGATCAGAACCAAGTCACGTTATAGTTCTTCAGTCAGGATGGCCTCTCAGCTGTGCTGCAGGCATGCTTCTCTCTGGCCTCAACCTCTGCT